ATCAACAATGCCTCCTCAGTCCCAAGCTGCTGCTCCGCTACATCAGCTCCTGCAGTGAGCTTCTTAGTAGCCATACGGGTACGTCCTGGCCTGGAGACGGGTGTCTCCCATCCCTTCATAACGACACCCTTAGGCTTCTTAGTTTTCCCCTGCTGCTGCTCTTTCCCCTCAGATCCAGCAGCTCCACTAGTGCCAGTCTCCACATCATTTTCTCCACCAGCAGGTGCCTCCTGTACCTTCTTTCCATCACCACCCTCTGCAGCTGCCTCCTCTCCCTCCTCCCACACACTAGGAGTCAGGTCCAGCTGCATGGTGATCTGTTCCATTTGCTGGGACACCCTGGCCTCCGGCTGTTTCTCCCAGCTCCCATACATCATGCCCTCGACAAACTTCACATCCCTGCTGTCAAACAACACACCCTTGGAAGGCTCCCACAGCAGCCATCCCTTGCTGTCAGCAGCCAGCCCCAAATGCACACACCAGATTGCACTCGCCCCCAACTTACTGCGGTAGGTCTTGGGGACGTGGGCGACTGCCATGCAACCGAACACCCTGAGCATGTCCACCGGCGGCTTCCTCCCAAGCCACCTCTCCAACGGCACCCTCAGCATGTCCACCGGCTTGCCATCCGCTCCCTTAAAGGCAGCTCGTCCCGCACCAGCCACCTTCAACCTGTGTCCAGAGGCAGAGCACACCTCATTGATCGGAGCAGCTCGTACGTGGTCCAGCAGGTCTTTTCACGGCGTCATCGTCCAAGCAGCGCCCGTGTCCAACACCCAATAATCCAGGGGGTGCAGCTCTGCTCCAACCTTGGCAGAGGAGTCTCCTTGCTCCCCCTTGTCTCCCACATAGAAGAATTGGCCCGCAGTGCGCTCCTTCTTCTTCTCCGCACCGCCGTTGCCCTTCGGGTTGTTGTCGGACGAATCAGCGACCATGTTGGCGCCGTTTTTCTGGTTCCTCCGCGCGCCGCCATCCTGGTGACGATTCTTGGGGGTCCATCCATCGGGTTTCTTATAGCACAAAAACCAGGGGTGCCCTTCCTTCTCACAATACCAGCAACTCCTTTTCATTTTGCCACCAGCACCCGACTTGCCCCCACGTCCAGATTTCGCACCACGACCCCAACCGGTACCTCCTTGTTGGTCGTTGGAGTAGTCGTCCTTCTTTGCACCGCGTCCAGCACCACCGAAGCCACGTCCTTTGCCACGTCGGTTCCCTTGCATCCCGTAGCCGCTGCTGCCATCGTCTCCACCCCTCAGTTGGCGGCGACGGAAGTCCTCCTCCAGAATCTTCGTCCGTACCCACTCGAGCGTCCACAAGCTCTGGTTCTGCGGCAGGCTCAATCCGCTCGTGAATTGAAGCCACGATTCCGGCAGCAGCGAGAGCATCTTCAGGCACTTGGTCTGCTCCGGGTAGGTGATTCCCGCGATCGCCAGCTTCACGCCGAGATCACGCATCTTGTCCAGGATGGGTTCTACCGGCTCTCCCTCACTTAGGCGCAACGCGGACAGCTCCGACTCCATCATGAGCGTCGCAGCGACGGAGGTAGGGGCGTGCAGCTCCTTCAACACCGTCCACGCCTTTGGACCGCACTCAACCTCCGGCATCAAGTGCATGACGTGGTGACGCTGGTTCAGCTCCAAACTCTGCGACATCAAGTAGTAGCCAGCCGAGGCGCCCTCGTCCCAATCTTCCTGAAAGGCGGGGTCACTCGTTCTAGGCTCCTCCCCAATCATTAGTTTCAGCAAACCGATCTGACGGAAATAAAGTTGCATTTTCCAGGCCCAATCATCATAGCCCTCACCATTGAACTTCTCGACGGTGAAGTTTTTCAGCACCTCCTTGATCAGCCAGCCCTGGCTTGTTCGCGCTCCCCTTGGCGCAGAAACACCAGAATCTTGGCTGCCGCTACGATCTTGGGCTGACGATTCACCAGCTACCGCCGAGGTGTTGCCCGCCATAGCTACCTATAACGAGGATCACTATAACGCAGCTCTGATACCAGCTTGTTGGTGTAAGGGCCCAATAAACTCAAGCTATTAAGACTTTATCAAACTTAAAACCTCTCCTCGGGGTCACCTCCAAGGGTCTTTGGGTGCCTGGTACAAGACCAGCCCCTATCCTCGGGTCCGAGTTTGTAGAGAGAGGGATCAAGAGGGACTTAGTCAAAACAGCAAGAGTACCTTGAACGTCGCGCAGCGTATCGTGCAGACCGTCGATCGGATTAAGCTGAGAATTTCCTTTATCGAAGCTCACTCTAAGAGCTTTAAAATAAGCCAAGTTGCCTCGCGAAAAGTTCCGCCATTACGAAGTTATGGCTCGGACAGCGTTAGCCTAGCGTTGGAGTGCTAGCGTACTAGCGTTGACTCGGGTAGCATTCCGCCGTCGCACCGCGTACAAAGGAAATTCCAGGAAGGGAGGAATTCGCTTGAATCAATTTCACTATATTCAGGTACAAACAGAGAAGGAATAAATAGTTCTAGCTAGCAAGGACCTTGGGAATGAACCTGGGAACAACCAGGAATCAGCTTAAATAATTCCAAGCAACAGAACCAACCTGGCTGGACAAAACAGCAGGTGGTAGGTTGGTAAACAACCTCTGGTTCTGTTTTTCCAACCTGGGAAAACAACAACCAGGTTCAGGTCCTAAAAACAGAACCTGTTTCGTCTTTGCCCAACCAGCCAAAAGCTGGTTCCGCTGGTTTCCCCTGGCCCTGTAGCATGCAGATACAGACAAACAACATCCAACCTTCACCTAAATTGTACCCCTATAGTGCCTGCCCTGCTAAACTATAATCAACCAAACAAAATGTTGGTGTAAGGGCCTAATAAACTCAAGCTTTTAAGACTTTATCACACTTAAAACCTCTCCTCGGGGTCACCTCCAAGGGTCCTTGGGTGCCTGGTACAAGACCAGCCCCTATCCTCGGGTCCGAGTTTGTAGAGAGAGGGATCAAGAGGGACTTAGTCAAAACAACAAGAGTACCTTGAACGTCGCGCAGCGTATTGTGCACACCGTCGATCGGATTAAGCTGAGAATTTCCTATATCGAAGCTCACTCTAAGAGCTTTAAAATAAGCCAGGTTGCCTCGCGAAAAGTTTGCTGCAGTTTGCGGAGGGCTCTATCTACAAGAGCTCATGAAGGAGCGAAAATCCCAACTTCGCCCACCTTTCGTCTCCACTATGACAGCTTCGAAAAAGAAGGGCTTCGTTAACCAAACGAAGCACATCGCGCTGTGATATTTTTTTGGCAAGGACGAAATTGATCAAGGCAAGGTCGATCTGACGTATTGCCCGACTACCAAGATGGTAGCCGATTTCCTCACCAGGCGACTGCCACGTCAGCACTACGAGCAGTGCTCCAACCTCATAGAGTCAAACGAGTCAGCTTCCGATGGGGGTGTTGAGATATAAACCTTTATGAAGAAACGTTCGTGTACGCTACAAGAGCAGACCTTACCGAGTATGAAGACGAGGAGTCAGAACAATTGAAGCAACCCTAGCAACCGTCAGATTGAAACCGATGCAGGCAGAAACATTTGAAGTGAAAATGGCGAGAAGAGGTTTGAAACTGGTTCCCGCGCCGCACGGTTTGAATTCGCTATAATAAGGGAATGTACCCTTTAGAGTACATGGCTAGCTACGTTGTTTATTTTCCCCTATATATTCCTATATAACTAAATGTATGCATTGCTATCATCATCGGAGTCGTTTACTTTCTCTCTGACCTAAGGTCACTACTTCTGCTGCAATTCTACCTGCGAATAACCCTGAGCCGATCCCTGGCTAAGTCCTGTTTACGGTTGAAACAGTGATTGTTCTGCAGGTTCCATAGCACAGGCTTGTGCTCAAAGGATCGCACCTTCGGGTGCAACGGAACGAGATAGCGAGGATTGCGCTAGGTGTCAAACGAGTACAAAGTATGAGCGAAGGCAATGAGCGAATAATTATGCGGGAAACGTGCAACAGTTACGTAGTGCGTGCGAGCTAGCTAGTGCTTGGTTGGCATTGAGGTTCGTGCTAGTCCCGAAGCGTAGGCTGACTCGGCCAGGCCAGCAGTGCATGGTTTGGTAAAACAGTGCGTGCAAAGTTGGCGAAGCCCCGTTAGCAGTAACGGGCGAACAACGGCTGCTGCTTTAAGGAATGCCGAAGAAATCCTTACAACTCTCAATGTTCATCATTGTAATTTGACATCCCTTTTGGCTTGTAGTGTGGAACTTGGCTGCTTTATGACGTGTAGTGGTTCAAAGTACGACAAGCGCAAATGCTGTGCCGCACAGACCATCTCGATTTCACGTGCATGTTCGTTGAACCTCGAAGAACAGGGTACTTGCGATAGTGACGATTTCTCAGCCTGATTTTGCATTCGTCGTTAACGTCCGACTGGAACATCGTGCACGCATTGCCGTGGTCGCAACTTTGCGCCGCTGAAAGAGGGTAACCAGCGAGGCGAGCCATGATGTTCCCGCGCCATCCCAAACCTGCACCACACGCGTTGTGTGCAGAGTTGAACCAATACACGTCTCATCAATCAGCCTTGGCTGCTGCATTGCCATACTGTGGAGAGGCCAACGACCACCATTGGATTCAAGCGAGCTCTTTGACTGAAGCGAGAGCCCGCAACTGTGAGGTAGCAGTTTGCTGAACCCGAATTTCGCGTGCGCGACTGATTCGCGTGTCGCGGACCCCACGGTCCGCAGCGTCCGGCGCTATGGCGTCACCATCATCGCAGGAGGCGATATCCCACGGCCAGGATGACGTAACATATTTAGTAGCTTCCACGATCACAGAATGTACGAGCCACCACCGGTGCAACAGCCATCGTCCGTCCAGCAACACCGATTTAGCGCCTTCAACCCCCCCGACCGCATCTGACCTTCACGGGACACGCCTCACCGCACCTACGCGCTTCGCGTACCGTCTCCTCTCGTCAACCCGCCAAACTCGTTCCCCGTGTCATCCACGGCGCCGCACTCCGAGCGCGTCTCTCCTCTGCCGCCATGGCGTCGGTGGCCTTCCCCGCGCTCTCCTCCACTGTGGCTCCCGCGCCTTCCGCCCTTTGGTCCGCCAACCTCACGGTGAGTTTCCCACCGCCATGGCGTCGGCGCGTGCTCTCCGCTTCCCCCATCTCCGCGCGCTTTTCGTCTCCAGTGCCCTCTCAAACTTGGAGGCTGCTCCTTGCCGGCGGCCCAGCGCATCTCCCATTTCGTCTTCCCCCATTCCCGTACTTTCTCCACTCCTCTCCCCTCATCCTGCCGAATTCCCCCCTTCTTCCGATTCCAGGCGCCGTATCCGACGAACGCGCCGTGGCAGAGCATGGTGCTGGGGCAGGGCGGCAACCCCGAGCTCGTGACGCCGTACCTCGTGCAGAGCGCAGAGGGGCGCATCGCGTGGGGGCTGCTGGTGCGCGACCCGCAACCCGGATACATCGTGCATGCGTTCGCCACCGCGCTCATGCTCTCCATGCTGCAGGGCCTTCCCGCCCACCAGCTCTCCGCCTACGACGACCTCTTCGCCACCCTCTCCTTCCGCCAACCCTCCTCCGCGCCTGCCGATCCCTTCATCCTCGAGGTCCCCCTAATGCGCGGGTCCCCCTTCCTCACGTTCATATTCCCCCCGGGCAGCCCCCCCGCGACGCCCGTGCTGACAACAATCTATGCCATCACGGGAGTGGAGAGAGCAGTAGCGACAGCAGCAAGTACCGTGTTGCGCTCAACAACGGCCAGGTCAGTCCGCAGCGCCAACTGCACCCCTTTGCTGCCCAGCGATTGCCGCCGTACCAGCCCCATTCGCTGTCTCACTCGCCCATGCCTCCCGCTTGCTTACTCTCCATACTCACCACCTCCGTCCCCTTGTTTCCCCCCCAATTATCTTCCCCTACACCAGACATGGCTGGTGTACCTGTCGGCGCCGCTAACCCTGAGGCAGGATGGGTCGACGCTAGCAGCGGACGTGCCGTTCACGGGGACGATGCGCGTGGCGCTGCTGCTGGGCTCCTCCGCGCAGGACGAGGAGGCGCTACTGGACGCGCACGTGCCCACCGTGCTGGTGGGGGGGAGTACGCACGTGGGCGCGTTCCGCATCAAATACACCTGGCGCACCCAGCAGTGGCGCGAGCCGGCCAATGCCGACACCAAGGCGCCACTGCTCATGCGCTCACTGCCAAGTGAGTAGGGGCATGCTGTGACTGTCATCGCAAACACGGTGTTGCCATATGTCACCTGGAATGCCATCACAAGGCGTCATCGGCTTATGAGGACAATCACCCACCACCCTCGCCATCTGCTCATCAAATCAAACTGAACCCCTATCCCCCTGTTCCTCCCTACCGTCGGCCCATTCTCTCCCATGAGCAGTGCACCAGCGCCTGGAGGTGAGCATGCACAGCCCCTCCTCTGCCTCTGCCCTCCGCCCTCACTGCAGCGGCTCCCCTTCCGGCGCCATGGGCGCCCTGCGCGGCCACCACAACTCCGCGTCTGCCAGACCCTCTATCACACGCGGCAATGCACCGTGGGCGTCCGTGAGAGATGAGTCGGTGCCCGATGCGTCAGTGCTGGCCTACCCCACCATCGACGGCCAGACGGTGGGCATACAGGGGGCGCTGTGGCGCCTCAAGGTTCCCAAGCAGCCGTCCACGTGGCGCGCAGGGCCACTCTCGTCCGACCCCCAGCTGCTGGACGAGCTGAGGGCCAGCCTCAAGCAGGACATGGCTGCCGCCCCTCTCCTCCCCCTCCACCTACTCCTTTGGCAAGACAGCAGCGCGTGCCGCCCGCCTGGCGCTGATCGCAAAGCAGGTGCGGGATGAGGACAGCCTGGCCGCTGTGCTGCCGGCCCTGCGGACGGCGCTCTCCGCATGACTGGACGGTACCTTCTCCGGTAACCGCCTGCTGTACGACCCCACGTGGGGTGGCTGGTGAGTGAGGCGGGGTCGCGTGACCAGGGGGCGGAGTTTGGAGCGGGCATGTACAACGACCACCACTTCCACTACGGCTACTTCATCTATGCCGCTGCCACCGTCGCCAAGTTTGATCCCGCGTGGCGCGACCAGTACCGTGCGCCGTTTAAGGACCTCACGGCGGACTACATGTCAGCAGAGCGCACCGCGGCATTTCCGAGGCTGCGGCACTTTGACGCGTACGCGCTGCACTCGTGGGCCAGCGGGCTGTTTGAATTCGGCGACGAGCGCAACCAGGAGAGCTTCAGCGGGGCGGACAACGCATACTACGCGGCGGCGCTGCTGGCGTCCGTGCTGGGCGACCAGCCGATTGCCACGCTGGGCGCCATGCTGGCCGCCGTGGAGGCCTTCGCCGGCCAGACCCTCATGCACGTGCCGCTCGCCTCGTCTACTCCGGATTCGTCCCTCTCACCCGGCTACGAGGCGGTGTTTGTGGACGGCAACCGCGTGGTGGGTGTGCTGTGGTCCACCAAGCGTGACGCCGCGCTGTGGTTCGCCCCGCCTGCGGACATGGAGAAGCGCGTGGGCACCCAGGTGCTGCCCGTCTCGCCCTTCCTCACCCACCTCTTCCCGGACCACGAGTTTGCCAAGCAGCTCGTGGAGTGGGCGCAACCCGTGCTGAGTGGCACCGCCACGGACGAGTGGCGCGGCTTTGCGTGGGCGCTGCAGGCGCTGTACGACCCGCAGGGGGCCAGGACGAACATTGCTGCTCTAACAGCGTTTGATGATGGCAACTCCAAGACCAATATGCTCTGGTGGCTCGCTTCCAACATGCCATAGTAGGCAAGGTTGCTCAAACAGTAGTATTTTGGTATTTGTGCATGTACAAAACGGCTTTCACATAGCCTTGCTCACATGTATAGTCAACATCTCTATTTATACTCATGGCGTTGATTTGCCATGACTTGCCTCCTGTTTTCTTTCCCAAACACAGTAACCATCTCCAGACGCAGCCACCTGGAACTCCGCCTCGTTGGGAGCCATGTCCCATCCCATCTCGTACGTCAGCCGTTGCACGCACCAAGTGTCCCTCCCCCTCTTGCATCCTCCTCATCTTCTCTCCATCACCCTCCCATCTACTCCCCCACCATCTCAGCCAGGCTGCACCTCTCCATTCCCTCCACATCACGTGCACCACAACTGCCTACTAATACCCAACACCTCCTCCATGCCCCTTGCGCTGCTCTCTTTCCCCCTCTCTCCAACCTCCATTCCCTCTTTCCCCCACCTCTCCTCCTCGCTGGCTGATGGTTCATGGTGGCAATAAAGAGGTGCTGCAATTACTGCAATAGCCCATCTCGCCCCTCTCAACCGAACTTCCATTCCCATTCCCCTCCCTCTCCCCTCGTTATTTTCTAATGTATACGGCCTCATCACTTTGTGGTTGCTTGACCACGTTTCTTGAGATAACTGGCAGACAGATCATGACAGATGGGCGGAAAAGGTAAGGGAGAGCATGAAAGGTGAGCATAAAGAAGGTGTTGTGGTGTCAGCAGCTGGTTCATCACTGATGCAACCAGGTGTACCTCTGCTTAGGCAGAGGGATAGGCTTGCAATAAGGTTGCTTACTTTTAAACGGAACTGGGAAGGAAATACTCAAAGTTCAGTGTGCAATGGTTTCGGGCAATGTCCAGAACGGTGGTTTATGCTGCCGTGGCTGCTGCAGAGGCGGTGGATGCTGCACGACCTAGGGTAGGTAGCAACCAACCTCTTTTGCATACCCCCTCCCCCCGCCTGAGCCCTCCCCATCTGCTGCATAACTGGCGGTGGATGCTGCATGACCTGTGGTAGGTAGCATGTTTTCAACAAAACCCACTTGCATACCACCTGCCCCAACCGAGCCCGCCTCATCTATTTCCGAAGTCACAGTGGCAGCAGGAGTGGCAAGCGAGGCGTTACTGGGGAGGTACTGTTCCCCACTCCATGCCCCTCTATCTGTCTTGTCATGTTCACATAGTTGTTTGTTTGTGAGCTACTTAAAACCAGGGTACACATTCAATTGGATTTCTGTCAAAGGTTATCCTTTGACCTCGGGGTTACTCAGTGATTTAGAAATATATGGGGGGTGTGTTCGCCTGAGCAGGTGAACATTTGAACCCTCGAGAATTGGCAAATGTATACCAAAGTCATTGAATGTGCTTCCGCCAATTCGTTTCCCCCCTTCCCGTACCTATTCCGCTCCCTCAAAAATTGTTTCCCCTTCCCCCACAATATCGTTTCACCTCCTTTCCCCTTTCCGCCACCCCAGTTTCTCTCCCCTTGAACCCCAATTTCTTGATTCTAGTGTTATCAATTTCTCCCCTGCTGAGTCTCATTTCTCACGGATGAAAAGCCGCACGCTCGCCCATTCTCAACTTTTTATTTGCTGCTCGTCAACCGATCAGCAGTTCCCGCAAACATGCCGCCCAAAATTTTCGTGCAGTCGCGTTGAATGTTCCCCCCTGGTTTTAAGTAGCCCTGGTTGAGCAGGGTGGCAGGGAAATGTGTTATTGGGACAGCTGTGCACATGCACCTCATCCCATACATCATCCCATATCTCACCATCGAGGAAGTCATCCCGTACCCAATCTCACACCTCATCCCACACCCCATTCCATCTCACACCTCATCCCACACCCCAAACCATCATGCTCGATTCCCTAGTACACTGACCGTCGTTTCTGAATTCATTTGATTCATGTAACGCCTTACCCTCGCATGCCTGCCGCCAACAAACGTGCCCACTAACACTCATGCCTACCTTGCTAATTGTTTCCCTCCACTCTCTTCCCCTCCCCATCCCCCCTCCCCCTCCTCGCCCTCGCCCTCCCCCTCGTCCTTGATGGGTAGATAATGGTGGCAGCAGAGAGACCCTACATGCTCTCCCCCAACCCCACCTTCTCTCCTATCTCCCCTCAGCTGCTTCTACCAGCCACCTCCTCATGGTGGCATGCCGTGGGGGGAGGGCGACTCAGGGGAGGTAATATCTGGGGCATGGGCAGAACCGAGATGCTGGTGTATCGGTGTTTGGCACTCCAGATCGGAGTGTCTTCAGTTTTGGAATTTCGTGCTTGTGAGCAGCCATGGTTTTGAACTCAAACAAGAATTTAGAGTGGTGGAACAGCTATGCATTGCACCTCATTCCATACCTCATCCCATACCTCATCCCACACCTCTTCTCATACCTTATCCCATATATCACATGACCTTTCCTGCACCTCATCTTATACTTCATCTCATACCTTATGTCATGTTATCCATTGCACAGTTTTGTTGATTCTTACCGAAATTACTTTCACTTCTTTGAGTGCTTTCTGTTTCTTACACTTATGCCCGCCCATCTCCTAGTCACAGCATAATCCTCTCGAGTGCAGAGTGGTGTAAATGGGTGCCACACATCAGCAGAAACTGAGTCACTAGTAACCAGCCACTTTAGGGGTGCATTGAGTGGGTGGAGGAGTGTGGCTGCAGTGAGAAGGTGCAGTTTTTGCGGTTCTGTCTCGTGTACCATGAAGTCTGGTGTTTTGCGTACAGTATATCCACCATGAATTCTGAAGCAGATAAGCCATTGTGAAAGCTGGAAGTGACACATAGGGTAGGAGGGCGACCTGGTTGCAATGCAATGCTACGAAATAGGGAAACCCAGATTCGATTGAAATTGAAATTGTTATCTTCTGCTTGCTTCCTTAATGGCAGCGAATGGGCCATGTGGGTGGGTGATGCAGCAGAATGCATGACTTAAACCCTTCATGTGTGTAAACAGCTCCATTGTTGCTTCACTTCTGCACTCCGTTCCCATGGATCATGCCGTGGCCTGCCACCCAGTCAAACGTATTGTAGCAAGCACTGCACGGCACATGTGTACATGCCTTTGATGCTGATAAAATGTGGTGGAAACATGTATATACAATACGGTAAGATTGGGGCATCTTCAGTCGGAAAGGCGATAAAAGTGAGGTCTATTCTAGCTTGCAGGTAACATCGGGCCAGCAAGACTAGTTGAACGTAACCCATTATTGCAGATGTCAAGGCACAAGTTCAGAACCATAAGCGTACCCTCAGCAGTGCACAGGCAGAGGCTCACCCAGCCACCAAATTGCACACATCCACACTCCGAGCCTATAAGCCTCTCCTCATCATCACTTATGTCCCTTTCCCTCATCATTACTCCCTACCAACCTACCCCCCTATCTGCAAGCACATATCCTCATTGCGTGGCAGCAGCAGCAGCAGCTCCCCTCAGCAGCCCTGCAATATATTTCTCAACCCCCCTTTTCTCAACCTTCGCCCACAGCTGCTGCTGCTGCCGCTGCTGCTGCTGCCACTGCTGCTGCCACTGCTGCTGCTGCCACTGCTGCTGCCACTGCTGTTGCCACTGCTGCTGCCACTGCTGCCGCCACTGCTGCTGCCTCTGCTGCTGCTGGCACTGCTGCTGCTGCCAATGCTGCTGGCACTACTGCTGCAACTGCTGCTGCTGCTGCTGGCACTGCTACTGCCACTGCTGCTATGCCAACCATGCTCGCCTCCCTCACTGCTCTCTTGCGCGCCCTTGTGCCCAGCTTCCCTGCCTCACCTCCTCGTCCCCTTCCCTGCTCCACCACACTTCTCCTCTCCCATCCCCTTCTCCTTCCCCATCTTCCCTGCTTCAAACCGCTCTATTATAAGCTATGCCATGAAGGCAATTTTTGTGCAGCCTCCTCTCATGCACTCAGTCACTTCTTGCCCAACCAGGCCTGCACGTGCTTCTGCCCAACAGAATGGCACGACCATTTCCAAACTCTCTGCAGCATGCAAGTTGAACCACCATTATATGCCTCACTCCTGTGCATGCATGCCTCCCCTCCTCAGGCGTCCGTATCAACACACGATCACGTCCTCTCTCACCTCGAGTTCCTCTTCATCATTACTCCCCTCCACTCTACCCGCCAATCCGCCTGCGCACGTCATCGAGCTTAAGGTGACCCCCTTTTTGGAGTATAGAGAGTTGTCAGCTTAGTCAGGGCAGTCAGCTTCTGCAGCCCATCATCCGTGACTGCCGTGCCATCCAGCCGAAGGTCCTCAAGCCCTGACAGTTTCCCCACATGCACCGTTCCCGCATCCAACACACCCTTGCAGTTAGAAAGCCTTCGCACTTCGAGAGAAGAGAGACCCGTCAGCTGCTGCAGCCCATCGTCCGTGACTGGCACCTCATTTAGCCAACGTATATCAAGTTCTGTCAGCCTTTCTACCTCCACCATGCCAGCAGTTGTCACACCTTGGTTAAAAGAAAGGGCCAGCTCTTTAAGAGAGGAGAGAGCTATTAGTTGCTGCAGCTCATAATCCATGACTGCCGTCTGATGTATCCAAAGTTTCTCAAGAGCTGTCAGCCTTCCCACCTCCACCATGCCAGCAGATGTCACACTTGGAGAGAGGAGAGATTCGTCAATTGGTGCAGATCCCACCCTCCTCTCCTCCCGTGAAAACTCTTCTGTCCCTTCTTGCTTTCTCTTTTTACTCTTCCCATTCAGCCCTTTCACACCCGATGCCCTACCACGCTCAGCCAACTCCCCCCTATGCATGCAGCAGTGAAGGATAGACAGGTGAGGGTGATGCAGCGCGGGCAGGGCATGGAAGGGTAGGGCAGGGAAGGGCAGGACAGGGAAGGGAATGGCAGGGCAGGAAATGGCAGGGCAGAGCAGGGTTTGGTTGGCAAGTCCCTCTTGTCACCCTTTGCCCCCTCCTAGTGCACCCCGTTGCCCCTCTGTGTCAACCGCCCTTGTGTGGCTCCAACCTGCTATGCACGAGGTCTAGCATCTCTGAATCAGGCATCTGGGCACTCGGCCTCGCCTCAGCTTCAGCCCTGGGCAAAACAAGGTAACCGAGCTTGAACGCGGGATCTACGAATGTTGCGACGCTCAGCTCATCGCTGCTGGACGCGTAGTACTCCTGCAGCTTCGCATTGCTGCCTTAATGCACGCAGCAATATGGAGTGAGGGAGGAGGGGTGTTGTTCTACAACTTCTCTAGCTTGTCTATGAGGCTGTTGAACTATGGCACCACATAGCTGACCGTGGGGTAAAGTGGCCCTCAGTCGCTAGTGTCACGGTGTTGAAGGGACGGAAAAATGCCGCAAGCTCCTCTAGAGTCTACCAATGTAGCAGAGTGATGCGAAGCGGGACAACACACTCCTTCTCCACACGAATGGTGGCCCCCAGTTATGTCAATAGTGTTGGTTGAGAGAGGGCTGCGAAGTATTTCAAATAGCATGACATCTAATCTAAGCTACCAACA